AGGCCCCAGTCTCTCTCTCGGGGTGGGGTCTCCGTACCCAGGAGGGGTACCATCTCTGCTGCCCAGGAGGCCCCAGTCTCTCTCTCGGGGTGGGGCCTCCGTACCCAGGAGGGGTACCATCTCTGCTGCCCAGGAGGCCCCAGTCTCTCTCTCGGGGTGGGGCCTCTGTACCCGCATCAGGCTGGAGTCTGGCTGAGGCTATGCCTTGGCACCAAGCTCCTCAGGGGCCACCCCACAAGATCCAAACCAAAACCAGAGATGGAAAGAAGGGAACCTGAGGGTGAGGAGTTCAAGGCCTTCTGAGCAATGGGACTGGTCAAGTTTGGGCCTGTGTCACACTCCTTAGTAAAGTCCCCATAAAAACCTGGGATTACAGCTGAAGAAGGCAGATCCGTGGGATGGGTCCCTTCCCCAAGCGACCTCCCTGGACCCCAGGACCACCTGCAGCCCAGCCCTGAACGTGCAAACCCCGCAGGAGGGTCCTCACATGCTGCTCCACTGAGGCCCACAATAGCCCTCCCTGAGGTCCCCAGACCCTGGGGTCACTAAGCAGCTTCCTGCGGCCCCATGGCCCGTGCCCACCCTCACGACACCTTTGGCAGGTCCTCCTGTGAGCCACACTCCCGGGGAAGCCCACTGTCCATCCCCACACCCTGGCTCTCACACCACCTGCTCACACAGACACCACCCCCCACCCAAACACCCAAGGTCCCTGCCTACCCCTGGTCTGCCCCCGACTGCTCCCTTGTCCCCTGATGTGTGATGTTACATCAGGGACTGGACAAAGGTCCAGAGGATGATGGTGGAAGCTGGCCAGGGGACGCTCTGTGAGGAACAGCCCGAGGCAGGCTGCATGTCTTCGGCTTCCCCCACACCCCATAGCCAGCAGGACCCACACCCTCCTGCCCTGTCCAACCAACAGGTCTGCTGTGCACTGCAAAAGCAAGGGCCCTGGCTTCCAGGCCGGCTCTGGACCCTCAGGCTGTACCTGGGGAGCCCTGCATCCCCATCCCTGCCTGGCAGGTGCCCAGGTCAGCCTGTCCTGGTTCTGAGAGCCTCGGGTTCTAGGAAAGGTAGCCTGGCTGTTCAGAAATAAAGTCAGCGCCTCGCCCAAGCTCTAAAATAATTACTACCTAATTACTATCAATTACTACGCAGTACCCTCAAATGACTCCAAGAACCCACCAGCCGCCCTGCCAGTCAGTCGGAGGATTCCCTCATCCGCACGATGCTGGGCACCGAGACTCCCACGCCGGCCCAGCCAGACACCTCAGGCTCCAGGCTCCCAGCACAGGGGGTGGACAGCCCCCCCTGCATCGTCCCTCGCGTGTCCCTCTGGTCTACAGCCCCCAACGAGAGGTCCCGGTCTGAGGCCTTCCCTGAGGGCTACAGAGCAGATCCCGTGACCACCAGCAAACACCACTGGCTGGTCTCAGCTCCACATGGCCTCGGAGAACATCCCTCACACCACAGGCCATTAGGTCAGCATCCCAGCCACCCGTGGGAGCTCTCGGTTCTGCAGCAGCTCGGAACCCCGAGCTCTCCGGGATGGCCGTACCTCAGACACGTTGACGCGGCCCTCTAGAAAGGCGCAGTCGGCGGCGTCGTGGGTGCACACGTGCCGGTACTTGCACCAGTGGCAGGGGAAGGAGCCATTGACACAGGACAGGCAGCTGCAGGGAGAAGGCAGGGCAGTCAAACTGGGGCCACCTGTGCCTCCACCCAGTGGCCACACGGGGCCGTGCTAGCTCCCTGCTAGTGCTTCAGCAGCGGATGACAGTGCCACCGCAGGGCCTTTGCACTGGCTGCTGCTCCGCCTGCTCAGGGAGGCCCGCCCAGTGCTTCCCTTCCTCCTCACTGCTTTTCTTCCAGACTGTGAATATCTGACAGCCCATGCCAGTGTCCACTAATAGAACCCTCCCAATAACAAATGTCTAAAATCTATGGTGTCTGCTGGCCACGCCAAGCCACACGTGACAATTAGTGCTGGGAGATGTGTCAGCGTGGATATGGAACTGCATTTCAAATTCTGATCTCAATGAACTTAGGCTTCCCTTTAGGAGGCAAGCCATCGCTGCAGGGCCCCGCAGAACGGTTGCAGACAGCCGCCTCCCCGACAAGAATTCAAGCTCCGCCTGGCAGTGGCTTGGCTGTTCACTCCATGTCCCCAGGGCCTGGACAGGGCCCTTGCTGCGCTCTGGCCTGTGCAACCTCCTGTGGCTGGCACCTTGTCGTCTCTCCAGTGCCTGTGGCCCCCACTTCCCCTGCAGAAAACCATCTCTGACTTCGCAAGGACCTCCCAGCCTGCCGGCCACCCTGCTTCTCCAGAGACCTTCCGTCCCCTCCGGCTCTGAAGAGCTGCCCCCTACTCCAAAAACCCCAGCCCGCCCTGGGCGGAGCAATGAAGCCGGCTAATACTAATACTGACACCTGGGCCCTCCGCGGGCACCACAAAGAACCAGGATGGAGTCAGTCTGCAGGTCAACAAACGAAGCCACAGCTGAAAACCAGCTGCCTCCAGCTCCACGGCTGGACCATACCACCTGCGTGGGCCTCCCCCCCACCGCCCCCCACACCCCTCGCTGGCCTTCCAGCCTGGGTCCCCTCCAGGTCAGGCTTGGGGCCAGGCCCAGGGCCCGAGCTTAGGGCAGGACACACAGCAGGTCCCTGGCTTCCCCCGTTCTTCCTCTGAGGCCCCAAGACAAGCACACCAGGGCAGCAGCAGGGACAGCTCCCACCCCCAGCTCTCTGTGCCCCCAGCGCCCCCCTCCACCACCAGAGAGGACCTGGACCGCTCTCTGTCCCTGAGCGGCAGGGACCTGTCCTGAGCAGCCCGCCCTGGCCCACGGCTTGGCCATCTCCCGCACGGGTGACAAAACAGCTTCCCTCAGAGCTCCCTGCCTCACTGTGGGGCCTGCAGGCCACTGCCCACACCTCAGCAGCTTGTGGGAGGCTGGGGAGACTCTCTTCATTTGAATCGTGTCCCTCACTCCCTTAGCCTGCCCTCTCTGACAGCCCCAGCCCGGGCTTCTCTCCACCTGGCCCGTCTACTGGGGAGCGGTTCTTACACAGGCCTCCCCTCCCGCCCTGAGCACGTGGCCGCACAGCGCCACACCCTGTCCTGCTGCAAGTGTCGGGGCCGGAGGGCCAGGACACTCACGACTGGTGGACACTGCAGTTGTAGAAGACAAAGTCCACGGATGCAAACTTCTTGCCCGTCTCCTTGGACTTCAGGTAAAGCTTGACCACCCGCTGGTCTCCTGAAAAAGCAGCACGGGCCCAAGTCACCAGGGCCACCCGGGGCCATGGAACCCAGGACTGCCAGCCAGGAGCAGGGACGGGCCTCGCCAAGGACCTTCCCTGCCACCACGTGCACAGCCCCTCGCCGAACCCGTGCCCCTCAGACCCCACAGGCCTCTAAGCATGCTGGGCAGGCACCTGCGGTCCCCACCCCCAGAGCAGGCATCTGCTTCTTCCCCTGCCACCCTACAGGAAATGTGTGACGCCCGTTCCCTGACCAACAGGATGGCTCCAGAGGCTGCTCCGGTCCCAGCCCATGGCGGGACTCACCCTGGCCTCGCGTGATGGGTGCCACCTCCCGCGCGGAGGGTGAGCGGCAGTGGATCCGACCGTCCTCCAGGATGCTCTCAGACTCGGTGAAGTCCTCGAAGGAACAGTTGACGCCGGCCGAGAGGTCGGGCACGTTCCAGGCCTGCAGCACAAGCTGGGGTCCCCAAGGCAGGAGGTGAGCAGGTACCCCACCCCCCTCCGCCGGGCCGATCACCCGCCCCCACCCCTGGCAGCTGTGCTCACCGGGACCTGAGACATGGTGACCGACACGTTGCGAGGCTGCACTGTCAGCTGCACGCACTGCAGCAGGTCCGAGGCGAAGCGCTGGGGCTCGTTGGCCCGCTCGCAGGCGTCCTGCCGGGAGCAGCTGCGGGCGGAGGGTGCTGTGGCTGGGCATGGCAGAGGCGGCCAGAGGGACGCCCCGAGCCCACCAGCCCCTGCTCAGCAGGGTCGTCACCCGCACTTGGGGGAGCCCAGCAGCTTTACCCTGTACCCCATCTTTACCGGGGTGAAGGTGGGCAGGCCATCACTCAGCCAGTCCCAGGAAACTGCCGAACACAGAGCACCTCACCCAGGGGTGACCCGGAGGCGCTCCAAGGGGAGCCATGACTGCCCAATGTGCACAGGGCGGCCACGTGGGGCTCTCTCAGGTCCGAGACTGCCAGGGCCCTCCAGCCCACCCTGCACCCCACCCAGACTCACATGCTGTGCAGGACGCACCAGCCGCAATGGGGGTCCCGTGACCCCAGGCACATCTCGCATGACGCATACTGCACACAGCTCTCCACAGGCACCCGCGTCACCTGGCAGGATGGGGACCTCAGCACCAGGCCCCCACAAGGCCCATTCCAGAGACCCTGGCCAGCCTCACCTCCCCACTGCCACCTGTGTCCCTCGAACCCAGTCCTGTTCCCATACATGAGGGGAGCCCCCATCTCGGGCCTTTCTCCAGCATGGTCCTGTGACCCTACCTTGGCCACATCAGGCCAAACAGGCCGGGTCTCTCCCCTGGGAGGCAGTGGCCAGGAGGCAGTAAGCCCGTGTAGGAGAGCTACCCAGAGGAGAACTGACAGCTCCAGCCAGAGTCACTCTCCCATCCGTCTGGACTCTGAGTTCCCCGCGGGAGCATGGGCTCGTCAGCCCCAGTCCTGAGCAAAGAGGCAGGCTGGGCCCTGCTTACCCTGACCTCACCTGCTTGGCCCTGAGATCCTCCAAGAGGTGGAATAACCTGACGGCTGGGACAGGGGCAGAAGAGAAACAACAGCTGGCCCAGAAGGGAGGCTTGGCCTCCCCAAGCCTATCCTGGCCTGCCCCACCTACCCCCCGTTCTTGGCTATCATGGGGTCACCAGCTTGAGAAGGGAAGAGGCTGGCTCCAAGCAGGTAGGCCAGGAACACAAATGGATGGCCTTGACGAGAGGGGCCAGGCCAGGCACCGACCCCATGGAGACAGCTGCCTGAAGCCGCCATTGGGCAGATGGGGCCAGGGCCGTGCAGGGCCTCAGCCCAAGAACTCAGGGCGCCAGATGTATACTCTCAGCCCTCAAATGACATCAATATTCTGATAAAACTTACTCAAATATCTATTCCTGAGAACATGTAACTGTTCAGGGAGGGAGTGGGAATTCCAAGTCTAACCGGGGAAAATCTGGAGCCAGTATGGACAGAGTGGGCCAATGACAGCCATGCCCAGCTTCCTGAGGGTAGCATCCCACCCCCCGAACCCACCCCACATGTCCGGCAGTGGGTCACCCACCTGCTTCTCCGTCATAGCATAGAGATACTGGCGGTCGGGGCTGAGGACCAGGTCACGCAGGATGGGGCTGCTCTCTTGGGCCACCACACTCTCATAGGCCAGGGCTGGCCGGCCGCCGGGGTTTGCCAGGTCCACCAGGATCTGTGACAGCGAGGGGCCTAAGTGGGGCTGTGCCAGTGCCTTTGTGCCCCAGCCCCACACCTACCTAAGGGCAGGGGTCTGGAGCCCCTCCCCTGGCTGACGCTCCCCAGCCCTGCAAGAACAAGGCCGAGGCCTCCACCCACCGCAAGGAGGCTGCGTAGGACAAACCGTGGCCCACTAGGTGGGTCCTGACTTAGCCCCTTCACCAGTCAACAGAGGCCATGGGGACGACCACGAGAACCACCACCCATCACCAGCTGTACAGCCAAGCCCAGCACAAGGGCGGCGGGAGCCCCTGGCAGGTGCCCCACCATCCCTGGGGCCAGGCTGGGTGCCCCGGAGGAAGGGATATTTACGCAGAGGTTGGGAAGGAATGACGAGACAGCAGGGGCCTTCGGGGAAAGGGAGATGTCCAGCATGGCTGAGAAGTGAAACCGGGAGACTCCAGGGCAGGGACGCAGCATGGGAGTGAGGGGCCAAGCCAAGGTCCCGGAGTGGGGTACACCCCCGCAAGAAGGCAGGAGGGCAGGCGTCTCATCAGTATGGAAATATATTCCAGATCCCAAACAAACCGGGCGTTAATTATCCAGCTCTTCTCTGCAGCTTGCAATGCTGCAAGTATTTTTAGTTGCTTTTACCAAACAAATGTATTTAATTAACAGAGAGACCCAGGGGGCTTTCCAGAAATGGGACTCATGGGGCAGCGTCTGTCCAGCTCAGCCAGTCCTGGGCAAGCTCCAGGGGCACAAGGTAGCAGGGCCCTGCTCAGTGAGGCCCACCCTCTCCGGCTGTAACCGAGGGGCTGGGCCCACCTCTCCCCCTCCGCCTGGGGCCAGGGCTCAGGCCAGGGCTCGGCCCAGCAACCCTCCTTTGTGCCCCCACACTGGCAGGAGAGGGCAGGTCTCACTGGCTGGGGTGGGCCACGAGGCAGCGAGGGCGGCCAGCCAGGGTGGGGCGCTGTGTCTCTGGGCCAGAGGCTGCGGCCGCAGGAGAGGGGGAGGGCCGCATTCCTGAGAGCCCAAGGCCACCCCCCACATCCGCTCAGCTGCCTCCCTGGCCGGGCAGGCAAGCTTAAGTCAAACCAGACCCGGAAGAGCGGAGCCCTGAGCTGGGCAGGGGGAGGCAGCCACGGGCTGGGCCTAGAGCTGCCCAAGTGGCTTGGGCCCACGGCCTACAGAAGAAGGGGTGCCAGGTGGGGGGCCACAGCAGCCCAGGCTCAGCGCCCCCGCGGGTGGGTGTGTACAGGACCCCAACCTGTACCCAGCCAGCTCCACAGAAATCCTGCCCTGCTGGGCTGAGCAGCCAGAGGGCAGTTGTTGCTCACACGGGGCCCTCAGGTCCTCAAGCTGGCAGGCCCAGGCCAACATCAGCCATGGGAGGGGTCAGGGAGGCCAGAAGTACAGCCTCTGGACCCACGCTGCCTGGGCCCAAGCCCCGGCTCAGACAACCCCAGCTGTGCAACTGAGGTGGGGCGCTGACCCGCTCTCTGCCTCAGTTTCCCTAGCTGTGAAATGGGGATGACAGACACCACTCCCCACGCCAAAGCTACTCTGAAAATTAAATAAGGGCCTAGCCAGTGAGCCAAGAAGAGGGGACACAGAGTGACTGAGCCCCACGGCAATCCCCAAACCCCAGCAGCCACACACCCAGGCCTGGCAAGGCCAGCCTGGGCTAGGGCCAGGAAGCAGGGGACAAGAAGGGCAGGAGCGCAGGGCAGGGCCAGGGTGCAGGCCAGGACACCAGCGGGACCCAAGTCTCCAGACCCAGTCTCAACTCAACTGATGCAAATCAGGACTCTGGATTTCTCCCAGAGCCCTGCCCTACGCCCGTGCCCCCCGCCTGCGGGTACCTCTAGCAGCCGCCCAGAAGCCCAGGCCCAACCCCAGCCCTCCCAGGACCAGACCCCCTCCCCCAGTGCCCCAGCGTAGCCCCTCACAACCAGATGCCTGAGACTTCTGCCCCCAAGGCCTTGACAGCCAGGCCTGACCAGACCACAGCCCCCTTGCATGCACGGGGCGCTCAGGAAATGTCTGCTCAACAGGGACACTTGAGGGGCCCCAGACTCTCCCACTCTGACGACCAGGTGTGGTACTCAATCTGACCACCCCCCTCAGCCAGGCCTGCCTTCCCCCTCCCTGCTGAGGGCTGAGGGCATGGGCTGGCCGGTGGATATCACATCAAGGGCCACCCACAACCCCGGAGGGCCCAAGGGAGATATTCTAGGGAAGGGCGCATCCAGGGGGCATACTAGCTCTGAGGCACAGAACAGGGAAGGCAGAGAGCAGACCCTCTTCCCAGGGTCCTGGGGAAAGCATGAGGGGAGGCAGGCCAGACACAGACTCTGAGATGCCCTGCCCCCGGGCCGGCAGCGTGCCGACTCCAACAGGTGGCCCCCAACAGCTGTGGTGGGGAGCAGGCACGTCCAGCTGTCCGTCCACCATGCATCCATCTGTCCACCCACCTGCCAGCACTGGGCAGCCCTGGCCCTTACACACGCATAAGCAGTCCCCAAGGAGACAGGGCATTTCTGGAGGGCAGAGAGTGAGTGGGGGTGTCAGGGAGGCAGGGCCAGCAGGCCAGTGGGTGGATGTGATGTGGGTGACAGGCCCCATGCTGTGCACTGAGCAGCCATGGTCCAGGCTCAGCAGGGCTCCTGCGTGCACACATGTGACTGTCAGATGGGGTGGAAGATGTCCAACCCACGGATGGCTTGTGCTCTGGATATGCCTGCTAGTTCCCAGCTAGTTTTCAGGTTGCAGGGCCTGTGTCGCACAGACAAGTAAACTGAGACTTGCGAAGACCTGCCAGAGGAACCCAGGGCCCTGGGCCACCACCTGCACCTGCGGACAGAATCTGCTCCCAAAGTGGGAGGGACGCAGCACGCCGCCAGGAAGGCATTCCAGGGAGAAGGGGCGTGCAGGGCGGGCACAGGGCCAGGCTGCTGGCAGGACGGCAGGACACATGCCACCAGCAGCGCACGTGCCGACGCCACTCGCCGGCGCACAGCTGTCCGGTCGAGGGCCACCCACCTGGGGATGGCCCACCCTGGGGCAGCTGGACTTACAGAGCATGCAGGAGATTTCCGGCATCCCCTGGTATCTGCCCTCCCACCTCCAGCTGTCACCTCTGTGCTCTGCAAACCTTGTCCCAAAGACCACTAGAACTTTCCACAACTAGCCACGACCACCTTCCCTCCCACATCCCACAACAGAAAAACCTCAGGACTCAAACCCAGCTCTGTCCCTCTTCTATGGTGCCCTTCCCAACACCCGCTGAGAAAGGACCCCTCCTCCCCCTGCCCAGATGGCTGGAGTGGAGGTGTCCAGTCTCCCAGGACATGCCTGCTGGGCTGCACCAGGCCCAGGCACCCACCCACCCCTGGCTCTGACCCAGAGGGAAACAGCCACCCCCACCCAGCCTCTGGCCCAGCCCTCCGGCTCCACCCACTTCTCCAACCCGGGGTTTTTCCCTGCCCCTCTGCACATGGGGAGTCCCCTGCATTCTGAGCTGTCGGCACCCCCAGCAAATTCTTGGTGCCAGGGCCCAAACACTGTGGGCCACACACCTACCACCACCATGAGGCACCACCTGCCCCTTCCCACAGATAGGCCAGGGAGCAGGTTCATCCCTTCACCCCAGGCCAGCAGGTCCTGGGGGCCCAGGACACACCAGTGCAAGGGAGTCCTGCAAAGAGAGCCCTGTGCAGGGCCAAATGGAGGCGGCCAGTGGCAGGTGGGCAGCCCCTGGCCCTGGAGGCCCAAGCCCCAGGCTGGCCCAGCCGGCTGCCCCTGCACCCATCACCGCGTGGCTCTCGCCAACTGCTGCGGCCCGGCCAGGTCAGCTGTCCGTCCAGCCCAGAGCCAACAAAGAGCCCATTCTCTGGGCTGAGGGCGGGCAGGGGCACCGGGAGGATGTCTGGGCCATGCAGGCTGCTTGCCAAGGCCGGCACGCGCCCTAGCCGCCCAGAGACAGGGGGCTGCCCAGCTTGGCCCTGGCCAGGGTGGGGAAAGAGTTCCCTCCACTGCGCACCCCAAGATAACAGCCCTCGTGTCCCTATCTGTGGAATGGGGGTTCATGACAGCAGGAGGACAAGACCCAAAGTGGTGCAAGAGGCTGAAGCCGGTTACGGGGCTGAGACCCCAGGGGGGTCTCCCTCCTCCAGTACATATAGCTGCCAAGCCTGTTCCCAGCCCCCTAGGCAGCAAAGCGGTACTGGGAGGGGCTGCGTGAGAGGCAGGAGCCTCTTTCACTCTCCTTGAAGGAGCCCACCCTCTCCTCTCCTTCCTGGTCAGGGGCCTGTGGCTGAGGCCCTGGTGAACCCAGCTCCTGGGCCCCTCCTCACCCCCTCACAAGCTGCCACAGGATTTCCCCCTCCTCTGGCTGGGGGCAGGTTCCAGGCCCCTTCCTGGGACCATTCTCAGAAAGGCCAGGAGGAATTTGATACTGGAAAAGCAATTAACAATTTCCTCTTGGCAGTACTTGGGTAATTAAAACATGATTTGCAGGAGGCCCAATGGCTGTAATTGGGCCAAACACACCTGGCGAGATTGGGGGGAGGGTCCCAGGAATCTTGTCTTTTCCAAGCCTAGCCCTCAACACGGAGAAAAGCAGACACCAACCAACATAAACAATGGTCCTCCTTGACCTTCGGTCTCCTCCTGTGCCAATAGAAATCCATCTCACAGAGCTGTGTGAGAGTTCAGAAGCTCACGGTTCCAATAGTAGGAGAAGGAAGACTGTTTGGAAGCTGCTTGGAAACTGGGCCCCCAAGGCTAGATGCTGCTGTGGGGAGCTGGGCATGGAGGTGCACAGCTGCCCTGGGGGATCTGCCTCACTGCCGTGAAGGCCACACAAAGCTGGGCACAAGGCAACATAGATCACACAGCCTTTCCTCACACATCTCTGACCGGGACTGTCCTCAGCAGGGACGTGGCCAGAGAGCCCTCTACAGCCTGAGACTTAACGAGCCCTGGGCCAGACCCTGTGGCAGGCAGCAGTGA